GCGCGGGGGTCCCCCCCGCAAACCCCCCGGGGCAGGCGCAGCCGCTGGCCCCGGCGCCCTCCGCTGTGCAAACCCAAGCTGTTTATGAGCTATGTGAGCACAATAAAGCAAAAGCAGCTGTGGCTACTGCCTCCTTTTACGTGATTTTTTTTTCTTCCCCCCTCCTCTTATGATCCAGATATAAAGCCCTGGGAAATACACGTTGAGAGTTGAGCGCTGACTCTGCTCCATCCCGGGAGCTGGAGGTAGGGGTGGGGATTCCGGCCGTTCCCACCATGCCAGACTGCCCAAAGCCACTGCGTGGAGGTAGGGGTGGGGATTCCGGCCGTTCCCACCATGCCAGAGTGCGCAAAGCCACTGCGCCCCAAGGCACTTATTTCCAATGAACTTTTATTTTTTTAATAAATTACTAAAAATACAGAGCCTGGAAGCCGGTGTTGGGCAGTGGGAGAAATCCCAGGTGTTTCTTGTTTGGCCCTGCCATGGTTGGTGTTTGCACAGTGCTGCCCCGTGCCAACATTTCTTTGCCCAAGGCTTTGTCCGAACAAAGGCGAAGGGGTGAAGGATTCTGTGGGCACGGTGCGTGCCACCACGGAGGAGGAAAGGACTGGGAAACAGTACTGTCACCCTCTCTGAAACCCTGCTTTTCAGCATCGCTGCCGGCTCCGGTTGCTTTGTCAGCACTTGCCGTATTTAGGATTAGTGCATTTTTGCTCTTTCGGGCTTTTGGAGAAGCGCTCTCGGCTTCGGAGCTGCCAGCAGGAGAGGAAAGCAGGGCGTTAATATTAGAACATCACCACGTGCTGCTAGAAAGCTGTGACCTAGCTGCCCTTAGTGAAACGTGGTGGGACAAATCCCATGACTGGAGTGCGGCTAGCGATGGCTACAGGCTGTTCAGAAGGGACAGGCAAGGAAGGAGGGGTGGAGAGCTGCCCTCTACAGCAAGAGATGTACACAGTCTGAAGAGCTGTCTCTGAAGAACAGCCACAAGCAGGCTGAAAGCTCATGGGTAAGAATCAAAGACCAAGGCAACAAAAGGAACCTTGTGGTTCATAGAATCATAGAATTGTTAAGGTTGGAAAAGACTTCAAAGGTCATCAAGTCAAACTGTCAACCCGTTACCACCATGCCTACTACTGGTTGGTGTCTACTAGAGGCTGCCCGGTCAAGGGGAGCCCGTTGACGAAGCCTGCTTGCTCCAGCTCCAGGAGGCATTGCACTCGCAGGCTCTCATCCTGCTGGGTGGCTTCAACCATCCCAACATCTGCTGGAAAAGGAGCACGGCGAGCTGTGGGCAACCCAGGAAACTGCTGGAAACCATTGAGGATAACTTCTTCAGCCAGGTGATAGACAGCCCTACCAGAGCGGATGCAGTACTGGACCTGTTGGTCACCAACGCAAGCGAGCTCATTGGTGACATCAAGAATGAAGACAGCCTGGGCTGCAGCGATCACGCGCTGGTGGAGTTTGCAGTCCTGAGGGATAAGGGTCAGGGGATGAGTAAAGTCAGGGCCCTGAATTTTAGGAAAGCAGACTTCCAGCTCTTCAAGGAATGAGTCAATAGGACTCCCTGGGAAACAGCCCTCAGGGACAGAGGAGCAGAACAGAGCTGGCAGAGCCTGAAGGACGCTTTCCATAGAGGGCAGGAGCTCTCAGTGCCCAGGTGTGAGGAATCAGGAAAGGCAGGCAAGAGACCAGCTGAATTTGGCAAGGGATGCTGAGAATAAGAAGGGCTTTGACAGCTATGTCAGCCAGAAGAGGAAG